GTCGCTATGGGTCGGGTCTGACTCAACGGCACACAACATACCATAACATAATAACAACTAACATTTATTGACTGTTTACTATGTTATCAACTCCTGTGCTTTATATACATTGCCTCATTTTAATACTCACAATGATCTTCTTCTCACTTAACAAATCTAGGACTATTTAGTCCAGAACCCATGCTCTTCAATGCTGCTTTCTCTTATCTAGTAATTTTGTTAGAATTTCGCCGTTTCATCAGGGTCTTCATGACATCATGACATAGTGCTAAGAGAGTGTGAACGGGGTCTGTGCACTCATGTCTCCCCTCTTTCCCATACAGAAAAGAAAGTTCGTGGCAAAATGCTGCATTCAGAATGCTGTGGACCAAATGTTAGATTCCATAATGCTATGTACAAATAGATCAGAATTAAAATTTAGAGTGTTTGGTAGAGAACGCAAACAAGCCATTTAACAATGGACAACAAACCAACACGATGAGCTCTGTTCTTAGTTCCTGGATATAAACCTTTCCCAAACCATCCAGAGCTGAAAGGCAATGCTTTCCTTGGCTACATGGAACACATAGATGGTATGATATAGATTCATAACTGTGACAGGAAAGTGCTGAATCTCTTGTAGGGAACCCGTCAGTGGTGTGGGGAAGAAGTTGTGGGAGAGTTTGTGAGACACAGCCAAAGGGAGCTGGAGGAAGTCACAGACTCATGCAGCCCTCGGAAAGATACCACACTGCCTACAAAGTAGAGAGCACTGGCAATGAGCAGTGCTTTTAAAAAACTTACTCATTAGAATTTTCCACCCTTCTTTATCCTTATGGTTCCCCACTCCCCACAAGTATCCACTAGGAAACTTCTAGATCCGTGAAACACATCAAAGCAAAGCAAAACAAAAGCCTGGGTCACATACATATATGGGGCTGGCAGATGATGTTTCTACAAGTGTATTTGTATGTTCTGTAAGAATTTACAGGTATATACTACAGCTGACAAGGGACAAGGTTGTAGTCACTTCTTGGCCACAGTCAGCTACCTGGAGTAGTTGGACCTGTGGGGTTGGGACCATGGTTTCAGGGGGCATCAAGCTCAAATGGCATCACATACTACACAAAAACATTGTTCCATATCCTACTTTGGTGAGTAGCAACTGGGATCTTAAAAGCTTGCAAGCGGCCATCTAGATGCAACAATGGGTCTGTACTCCTCCACAGCAAAGAAGAATGAAGAAAACCAAAGACGCATGGAAACAATTGTTCCAAGGGCATGCTACACCATGTGATCCTCAGCCTGTGTGACCATGAGACCAGAAGAACAAGATGGCGCCTGA